CCCGCGACAACCGAAATTAGGAGGCATCCTCGTTGTCCTCAGTGCCGGTAAAACCAGGACTGTCGGCGGCGGCCTTCTCCTTCCCTGGTCCATAACCCAAAAAAAAACAAGATTCATCAGAATCTTAACCAAAAGAGATACATAATAAAAAATCCAACCTAAGACATAAACAAAACCTCACCTATCCGACGCGCCAGTGTTCGTCGATAGTGACCCTCTTTCGTTTAATTTGTTTTGCTCCTCTCCCATCTCCACCCAATCTCCTAGTTCGAAACCTGCAACAAAAAGACAGATGAGAATCCTAAAGACCAAAATCGAACCTTAAAATCAACATGCAATCTATTAAAGAGAGCTTACTTTCGTCGTTGTCCTCGCCGGCGACCACCTGGTTACAGTCGCCGTCGATCAGCCTGTCGTCGGGCCCTCTACTCGTCTCGACAAAGAGGAGGAGAGATGGTGTTTTGGGTGAGACGAGAAAGAGAGCAAGAGAGAACAGAGGGAAGAGCGATTTGAGATTTGGTTCGTCTGGTTTATCTTTCTGCATTTCGGTTTTGCCATGGGAGAAGAGAGAACGGCGCTTAGTTGGGATAGGGTTTCGTTTGGTCTAGGACGAGAGGGACGATAGGCAGGCGAGTGAGAGAGGAGAGTGGGAGAGAGTTAGGTTTTGATTAGGGTTCCGTTTTTTTCTCTGAGGGAGAAGAGAGAAGAAGAGCCGAGAGGCAGAGAGAGAGGGGAGTGGAAGCGGCCGTTTAGGGTAGAATGGATTAGGGTTTTTTTTTTCGTCCAAAAAGATGGATTTATACCCATTCTATAAAGACCGATTTACCCCTAGGGTTTCCTAGTTACTACGCGCCCCTGCCACCGATCTTTTGAGCATTTACCAAGCTGCCCTTCCCCCTTCTCTGCACTAAAACGAGATAAAAAAAATCATGGTTACCGGTAGGGGTGGGCATTCGGTCGGTTCGGTTTCGACCGAACCGAAATTATGAATACCGGATCCCCGAATTCTCCCAAACCTCAAACCGAATTCGAACCGAATTATAATTCGGTTCGGTCGGTTTAAATCGAATTATAATTCGGTTCGGTTCGGTATTTCACACAAAACCGAATTTGTTAAACTACTTGTATCTTCTCACTTTTAAATTATTTTTACCCCTAATATAAACAATAAATATGTAATTATATGCATCATCAATGATAAAATCAAACTTTTCAACACATAAGTCAAAAAATATTTCAAATATTTAAGTCTAAAAACAACTACAAACATAAAAATCCATCATTTGGAGCTTGTAATTATAGTATTTCGGTTTTTCGGTCGGAACTTCGGAAATTCGGTTCGGTTGAGAGAACCATGGTTTCCGAACTATCCATATTTTCCTTCCGAATTCCGAACTGAATAGCATTAATTCGGTTTGGACCGGTTTAATTCGGTTTCGGTTCGGTTCGGTTCGGGTTTACCGAACCGGTTGCCCACCCCTAGTTACCGGGTTTCGAACCGCCGTTCTCGGGGTCGAACACGGTCAAGGTCTGGCAACTTAGCCAGTTGGGCTGCTGGCCCATAATGCATTAATATTATCAGCTCATATAATTTTATTTATTTAAAATCCTTAATACGAAATGTTAAGATGCGGATTAAGTTTATCTCGTATTTTTGTCCAATACATCAAATTACCTCCTAAATATTAAAATCCGTGCAAAAATATAATTTAAGTTTCATTAAATTATAATACAAAAATTACATTCGGTGGAACGAGGTTAAAATTACTTCTTAAAACATCAAAGCTTTATTCGAACTACGTGGACTTTGATCCCGGTTAACCCGGGTACGTAGGCAACCGATAGGTTCGAGTCCAACCAACTTAAAACTCTTTCTTAATTTTAAGAATTATGTTAATAAACGTATGATCAAACATTATATTGATAATCACCTAATCAATTGGATTTTGTGATTTATCACACAATAAAGTCGCAAATAATAATATACCCAACTTTTAAAACTTATCGATTTAAGTAGTACCAACTTTGGGCGTTGTGGGGTGTGAATACACTTCCCCACGCGTAACCGTACTCCCGAACCCAAAATCTAAAATTCGCAGACCAGAATTCTGGTTTTAACAAAAATTAGAACCGAAAGAGGGTGTTCGACCCACCCCAAAATATGATCGATGGCGACTCCAAATCGAACCTCGGGCGATACGCCCGGGTTTTTCGAGGGCGGTTGCGACAATACTAATACAATTTTATGAATAAGTAGCTCTAAAACATCCATAATATAAGTTAAGCCGTATCACCATATTAGAACGCATTTCTAATATGTAAGAATATTGTATAGTTTTGTGAAATTTATCACCATAATAGACCGTATATAATTAACGTATTGTCTAAATGAATCAATTCAACATCCATCACTTATTTATGTTTTTCTTTTTTCTTTTTTGGCACTAACACTTTCTTTCCCGGCCTCCCTGCATACTTATTAAAAACTATGTATTTACCTTTTTATTAATGCCATTTTTTTTACTTAATTTTTTTATTTAGAAAATGAGAGTGAATGTCATTTTGTGTAGTATTATTAATTCAATACGCAAACAAATATGAAACTCAAATTGAAATGAATGAGATATAGACAAAAGATAATGAGAAGGGTTTACGCATTATGTATATACTTAAGGTTATGCAGCTGGCAACAATTTCCCCAAAAATAACCTTTTATCTTACATTTTTTAAGAATAAATCAATTACCTGTTTATGGATTTCGACTTCTCTCACCTTACAACGATCCATAAAATATTATTTTCTTCTAGCATTTTTCTTCCAACAAAAATCGCCCCTTTTTATAGACATCTATATTTTGACTTTATTCAAGTCTCTATGTTTCACAGGTTTCCAGTAAAAAAAGTCTTTGTGTTTCATGAATTCTATAGAATACCATTACACTCGATTTTTTTATTCTACTTCATTGATGGCCTCAGAATGATTGACCAGCTATGGACACCAGATATTTGTACTTCAACTTAGCTCAAATCGTTATCATTATGAAATTCATCCGACATAGCTAGCTCATTCAACTTACCTATGATTCTAAATGTTGTATTCTGAGTATACGTGTATTCTAAGTATATGTGTATTATGCAGAATACAATGTTTTTTTACTTGTTTTAATCACATAATGCATGTACAGAGAGTGCATGATGATGTATTTCTTTATTAGACATTAAAAATGATGTATACTTAATATTACCTTTTTATATATAATTAATCCATGTATTCTGCTATATTTTCCAAACAAAGCTAAACCCACACATTCTTCATACACACATAATCTTAATATACATATTCTTGTAATACACCATTTCCAGAATATCAAACGTTGACACCTAGTATTGAATTTAATTTTTTCCCCTACAATTTTCCATCTGAGCGTGTGTCATTGCAGAATGACCCCTTATTTGTTAAACTCTAACTAATGGCAAGACCAATGTGAGTACACAATCTCTTTCTAAATTTTCAATATTCAATGCTCCAAGGACAACATAGACTCTTAGGGGCCGTTTGCTTGTTGGATTTGGGTCATGGATTTGGTACCTAAATTCCAAGTTTGATGGATTTAACACAAGTCCATTGTTTGTTGATGGGTGTCAAATCCGTGGGGTCCACCGATTTGGTCTTTAATTTGGGACCAAATCCGTGGACCCCACGGACTTGTAAATCCCACATATTTGTTTGGGATTTGTAAATCCATGATGGTTGTTAGTTGCTTATGTGACAAATCCATCATCGGGTCGTTTGCTTGAGGGTTTTGGTGATGGATTTGGTCATGGAAATCTATCCATCATGGACTTTAACGGAAATCCATCGTTTGCCTTAGGGAATTAGGGAGATGGAATTTGTGGGTCCCGCCACTTTTGGGGTTCCAAATCCGTGGACCCCACGGACTTGGAAGTTCCACCTCTTGAGGTGGGATTTGGGTGATGGATTAAAATCCATGATGGTAAATTACCTTTCTACCCTTACTTATTACTTTAATTACAAAGTTGTCCTACTTTAATTCAATGGTCATGCAATTATAAACTTTTATAATGTCGTATTTTATATATATGAGAATTTTTCATTTCGTTTTGTAATATCATAGTTTATTTAAATATGAATGTATATGTGATTTGTTAGATTCAACTATAAACATCTTATGCTCGTCTTGTGCATTATTATTTAATTGATTGTCGGATTCCAAACTCGGGGAGTTAGCAAGAAGTTGATGAGTTGTAGCAATAAAGCTAGAAATTGGTTGCAATTGATACATAATATTGCGTACATTATTAGATGAGTTGTTAATTAGTGCCAAACTATAAACATAGTGGTAAAGAGTTTAAAATTTCATTGTATGCGTTGGATTTTTTTTAATGAAATTTATGGATTATAATATAGAAATATAATTAGATAAGATAAGGGTAACAAGGTAATTTGAATTTCATATCCACAAATCTATTCAAACAAAATCTATAATCAAATCCAACAAGCAAACAAAAGACTTGGTCAAATCCATAATGCCACCAAATCCATCATATATCCATGGTTTTCCAAAACCCAAGTTTTACCAAAACCCTCATTTTTCAAATCCATGAAGCAAACGACCCGTTAATATCAGCAACTCCTGTGAACCCCACAATGAACCGTGAGGCTAGTCCCTTGCCGTAGCCAACTTCGCCAAATACTTTTAGCTCATCAGTATCCCCATGTCTAGGAGTCGGAGCGCATCCTTGTTCACCTTGGTGCCTTGGTCTATCTCGTGCATCCCTCTATATCCAGCTCCCTCGATTTCTTGAAACCAGAGAGATTTCTCAACTCTTTTATTGACGTGCAACATACATGAACAACTTTGTCAATGACGCCAAATCCTCGATTCCTTTGAACTCAGCAGTGTGTTATGCAGTGACAGATTCAATTCCTCCGAAATCTTGCAGCTGGATAAGTTTGGCAGCTTCTTAATGGACCAACAATCACACATCCGTCGCAACCGAAACGACTCCAATCTGCCATTCTCGGTGAAGGCATTGATCAAGCTTGTGCAATCTGTAAGCAGGGAAAGAGGATGGCTTATTTTAAGAGGCATTTTAGTGTGCTTTATAGTATTGGTGCTATAAAACATTTACAGCCATTAGATTATGTTCAAACTATATCAACCATTAGATTTTATTTAAATTATTAATATATTATATTATTTGTGTGTGGACAACCGGTACAACCGGTTGTCTGAAATTTTTTTACGAATTCACCACGCAACCGGTACAACCAGTTCACCACGCAACCTTCTTCTCACCTCTTCTCACCGCCGAAACCATTCTTCCTTCGATCCTCTCCACGCAGCTAGCGAGCCAGATTCTGACGACGACAGTGAAGACGGCGAGCAGTGGTTGACGACGAGTAGAAGAAGCTTGTCGATTGCAGCATCTCTTTGACTGCGGCGAGCCGGATTCCGACGACGACAGTGAAGGCGGCGAGCAGGGGACGACGAGAGCGAGCATCTCTTCGTCGATTGCAAACGAAGACCCTCTTCCCATCGATAGCAAACGAAGACCCTGCACAGAACCCCCTCTTCCCATCGATAGAAAACGAAGACCGCTGACCTACCTCCTCCACCGCAACTTTTTCCGGTTAGTATGCCTACAGTTCTACAATTTTATTCAATTTTCCGGTTAGTATGGCTATCAGTTTAGGGATTATATTGGGATGTTCTAGATTTACAAATTTCGGTAGGGGGATTGAAATTCCATGCTCGTTTTACCAGATTGAACTATGGATTGGTTGTTTAGGAACTTGACGAGCTGAAGAAGAATCAGTTTAGTTGTCTGATGTAGGCGAAGAATCAGTTTAGTCATCTGGATTAAGTTGTATAGCATACTGAAGACGATGAGATAGGAGTGGGTATTTGGCCAAACTTAAGTGGCTATTAATGAAAGACAAGACAGAGCAAGAGGCTGCTGCTACTGTCAAACGAGTTGATATGAACTTGACTTTCTTGCTGTTGTCATTGATCATGCGAATGAGTCTATGCATGTAGCCGATGATGGAGAAAATAATATATTGCTTATCAATATGCTCAGATTTAGGTTTATGAGTTTAATTGGTCATGTCCTTTTACCAGGTTGATGTCCTTGTAGTATCTTCTTTGTGTTTAGCTTGATAATTATCTCATGTTTTTATATGAATCACTCAGGGATATTGATCATTATGTTTTCTCATTATGATTGATTGAATGTGTTGGAATTGTGTTGATTGTTCAATCAGCCAACAACAAGTTGTTATGAATTTACTCTATTGTCACTCAGTTTCTGTGATGTTAGCACTGTGTAGGATAGATGGCTGAGTGGTTCAAAGTGAAGCATTAAGATCTATTTCATTTATTTTTACTCAACAGCTGATATGAGATATCTGGTAGCTGATGGTTTAGCATTATGGTAGCTAAATTTACTGATAGGGCTATAGATGGAGAGAGCTCTTTGTCAAAGCAACGTGGTGTAATTTGGTTGTTGGTTGCTCCTCCATTAACCATACAGCCATAGATTTCCTGCTACTAAAGTTCATTGTGAGTCGATTTACACATTGAAGCTTGAAGGGAGAGTTGTGCATGGTTGTGGTTGCCTTGCTGGGTAGTGAACAATCATCATTAGAAATACTTGGTTGAATTTTGCATCTGATGGTTTGCGATTGTGATGCAGAGTTGTTTTCTCGTCTTTAACTTCCTTGTCTTGGTATCAGTCATTGTTACTTCCTTTCTTTGGATCGTATTTCTACCACTGGAACTGCTGATCTCCTGGACTTGTATGGTTGGATCGGATTTGTGGATAGACGGTAGCTGGTCTGCTTGCTTCTTTAGTTCTTTGGTCTTGATTGGGTTTTAGGGATGTAAGGAATGGGTTTGTAGAGTTTACTTAATAGTCAATTTTTATCTCCCACATCCCACTAGAGTTCGAGTTATTTTCAGGGTTTTTGCTGTTTATAGAGTTAATTCATAGTCAATTTTGCTTCTTTAAGTTTCTCATATCAGACCTCAAGGCCGGGAATGAGTTTTATACATCCCTAGACAGATACTGTTTCGAGTTTATCAGGGGAACTAACCTCAGCAAACGACTCAGTGGTCTTAGAGCTATCAATTTTGCTGATCTTCCGTGACATTTTTTTTTTGTAACATACGTAAATTACTGCTTTCTGAACAATTTCGAATCTTACTTTTACGTCTGTGAGTCGATTTACACATTGAAGCTTGAAGGGAGAGTTGTGCATGGTTGTGGCTGCATGAAAGATGCAATTGAGTGTGTTAGTCAAGAACTATTTCATGAAATCAGGGTGACTTCAGTTTTAGCCAGTTTGGATGGAAATAGAGCGAGTGTTTATGGTGGTGTCATGGGTTATGGAAAGCTTAGTGGCTATGCTCGTGGTCATGTTATCTAGCTCTCAAAAGTTGTAAGTTGTGTGTGGTTTCTAATTTTTGTCCAAAAGAACAGGGACGGGTTTAGATGTAGAAGGGAGCCTTAGAACAAAACAGAAGAAAAGAACAGGGGCATGGTATCTGATTTTCCAGGTTAAACCTTTTTGTTTGTTTATTACAATCTCTGAAATCTGTTTTTTGAACTAGCCTTGGATTTAGATATGATATGAATCTGATAGCTAAAATGACTAATGAGAACAACCATAAGCTAAAGCCATAATTGCAAACAAATAGTAGTTCTTAATACATCAACAAGCTTCACAGCCTTTATTTTGAAACTTAGATTTGAGCATATGCAGCTCTTCTTCTTAGAAATACCCAACTATATTTGTTTGTACTGGTTTTATAGAAACAAGTTGGTCACTGTAGTTGAAAATAGATGATTATACGATTTGATCGGGGACAAACCTTGTCCTTTTGCTTGGTAAGATCGCCTGTGAATAGATGGTTAAACCTTTTCTTCTGTTTTGCTTATCTCATGAAAAGATGTTACGGCTGTGAAATTTCCAGAATTAGCCGTGAGAATGTTTAGTGAAATCTGGGTGTTTTTAGTTTCACGGCTTATTTTAACGGTCGTGATTTATGAAGCCAAAGCCGTGAGATTGTCTGGGGATATGAAAACTACTCTTTGCTTGTCACGGGTCATGTCACGGCCGTGAGAATTTGCATTTTGGGTGAAATGTAATGAAAGCGGGGTGTTTTGGGTGAAATTTATATATGCCAATGGCGGATTTCATGGTTAATTAGTGTACTCAGGTGTTGATGTAGGGGGTTTTCAGTTCTTCTGGTAGTTAGACCTAGAAACAGTTCTTCTGGTAGTAAAACAAAATTGTACCTATACTAATGGTACAACTTTAAGTTGTACCTACACTTTGTGAAACAAATTCTTCAATGGTACAGCTGAAACTTGTACCTATACGATATGGTACAACTGTAATTTGTATCTACACTTGTATACATTGATTCATTATTTACAAGATTGCCATTAATGATGTGGAACCAGTCATTTAGTGGGTTTACCTCCTCAACATGTCACCTTTTTTATAGCATGGGTGCTATAGAAACACTAGAAGGGCTCTATTTCAAAATATACATAATTGAAAAATGTAGATTTTTTTTGGTATAACAAAGGATTTGCCTCCTTTATCTCTCTCGACTCTGCAGAAAGGAGCAGATTCAGAGCTTCTCAGCTTGATAATTTTTTGTTTTACTACAGCTGAAATGGAAGAAGAGAATAAAATAAAAAATAGAAAACCTAGAAACAAGTGTTACAAATAGACTCATACCATCCACCTAGGGCTGCAAACGAGCCGAGTCGAGTCGAGTCGAGTTTTTGTTTAGTTTGAGCTCGACTCGTTTATTAATTTTTCAGCTCGAGCTCGGCTCGAACTCGAATTTTGATAATCCAGCTCGAGCTCGACTTGAATAAAAATAATCTAGCTCGAGCTCGACTCGATAGAGCTCGATAAATTCTCCTTAACATAGCTTGTCAAGCTGAGTACAAGCTCGACTCAAGATGAACTCGATTTAAAATCATTTTTGCTGGAAAGATGTATAAACATAAGAATTTAAAGGATAGAAAGAACACTAGAAACTATAAATAACATCTAAATTTCATGCACATCTGTATTAGAAGACAATGTTCATGTTTTAAAAGAGTAATTCATCTTTCCCCAAGCTCAAAACAAAGCAGCTCGCTAGCTTAGCTCGACAAGCCACCGAATCAAGCTAGCTCGCTAGCTTATCAAACTGAGCATGGTCTAGCTCATGCTTGACTCATTAACTAACGAGTTGGCTCGCGAGCCGGCTTGTTAAATAACGAGTCGAGTGTCGAACGAGTTTTTCCCGATTCGAACGCCGAGTTGCTCGCGAGCGCTTTGGCTCATTTCCAGCCCTATCCACCACATCATATTGGAACAAAGTCTCCAGCGGACTCACCCATATATGGCTTTACCAAAATAGAACAGGAGGGAGAGAGGTCCTTCCGCCATCACCAGTTGCTGAGAGACCCGGAAAGCAGTCCCTTGCCATATCTCGCAGCCGACTTCGCCAAGTACTTCACTCTCATTCTTTTCCCCATATCCATGTACCGTAACCCATCCAGCTCCTCAAGCCCATTCACCTTGGTCAATTTTGTGCATCCCTCAATATCAAGTAACGCCAATTTCTTGAGACCAGACAGGTTTCCCAACGCCTTTATTGACCTGCAATTACCCATCTGCAGTATTGTTAATGACTCCAATCCCTCCACCCCCTGGACCTCAGTCAAGGCTGTGCATTTGCTAAGATTCAACAGCTCCAAATTCTTCAAGCCCGATAAGTTTGGCAGCTTCGTAATCAAATTGCAATCATGTATCTCTATCTCCCGCAAAGACACCAATCTCTCGATGCCCGTGAGATTAATCAGGCTGTCGCAAAATCTTATGTTTAATGTTTTGAGTTTCCCGTGCCCAGACAGATCAGGCAGATTTCGAATGGAGTTGCATTCTTTCATAGTAAACCGTTCTAGAGACATCAATCTCTCAAATCCTGTAAGCTCTGTTAACTCCAGACAGCAGCGCAGTTTCAACTGCTTGAGATTAAAGAGGCCAGAGAGATCCGGAAATGAATCATTGCCATGGAGACAAAACGATTGTTCCTGAAAAGTAAGATACTCCAATGCTCCCAGAAGTTGAAATCCATCATAGTTTGCCAAGCTAGGACATCCTCCGATTAACAGACGGGATAAAGACTCCCCAATGCCACCCAGACCTTGAATTTCTACAAGAACCGGGCACTCGTAAACCACCAATAACTTCAGCTTGATCAAATTCATTACACTCGGCAGTCTCTCTAACACAGAGCACGTTCCCACGTACAGGTTCTTGAGGAAAATCAGATTCTCAAGTCCGTGGAGGTTGATCAGATTCGGGGAATAGGATATCACCAGTGTCTCCAGCACCCGAAGCTCTCCCAGGCCCAGGATTTCGACCACCCTGAAAAATCTAAGAAGCGGAAGAAAGATAATACGACACAATCGATTTACGTGGTATCCCCGTTCTGTTTGAACGGGACTAATCCACGGAGAAGGAAAACCCTTCTCAGTCACTTTCTTATTCACGGCTCAAGTTACAGCAGCTGTAAAACAAGAGTATATATACAACCCTAATGGAACAAATCACCTAGGGTTGCCGTAGGAGCAAAGGGAAGTGGAAGTGAAACACCCAAACTGCCCCTACGTACATGCACGTAGAACCCTTTACCCCCCCGCAAGCGGAGCATGCAGGTTACAAATGCCAAGCTTGGAGATGAGGTAATGGAAGTGATCACTGCCGAGGCCTTTGGTGAAAACATCAGCCACCTGATCCTGGGAGGCGATCTTCGTCGGAAGAATGGTACGAGCAGTAACATGATCGCGCACAAAATAGCAATCGAGCTCAACATGCTTTGTCCGCTCGTGGAAAACCGGGTTGGAAGCGATGTGAAGCGCGACCTGGTTGTCGCAGTGAAGAACAGTAGGGGCGGACTGAGCAACACCAAGATCACAAAGGAGAGCCCGAAGCCACAACACTTCACTAACAGCACCAGCCATGGCGCGATATTCAGCCTCAGCTGACGACCGAGCAACAACAGTTTGCTTCTTGGTTCGCCAAGAAATAGGAGCATTCCCCAACTGAACAAAGTACCCTGAAGTAGAACGACGTGTGAGCTGACACCCAGCCCAATCAGCATCACAATAGGCAGTCAACTGGAGTGTCCCGTCAGATGGAAGTAAGATCCCCTGGCCAGGCGCATTTTTTAAGTAACGAAGTACCCGTTCAGCAGCCTCCACGTGAACAGGTGATGGCGAATGCACAAAACGGCTGAGGATATTGACAGCATAAACAATGTCGGGTCGAGTAACCGTCAAGTACTGAAGACGGCCGACTAACCGACGATAGGCAGGCTTATCCACCGGACGGGGATCATCGTCAGTGGAAGAGCGCGTGAGCTGATGATTCTGCTCAACTGGCACAGAACTAGGACGCCCCCCCGTAAGCCCAGCATCACGGAGAAGGTCGAGAGTGTACTTACGCTGACTGAGTACAATTCCTTTCTGAGACCGGGCCACCTCAATCCCGAGGAAGTACTTCAGCGACCCCAGGTCATTAATGCCAAACTGGGCATCCAAAGTGGTCTTCACCCGCTGAATAAACTCAGGATCGTCCCCAGCCAGTACAACGTCATCGACATATATTAAGGCGGAAACGAAACTGGTAGCCGTCTTACGAACAAATAGAGAGTAGTCGGCCTTGGAACGAGTGAAACCAAGGCCAAGCAGAGTAGAAGTAAATTTGGCGTACCAGTTACGCGACGCCTGCTTCAACCCATACAAAGACTTATGTAAACGGCAAACTCGGGTATCTCCCGGTGCAGCAAAACCTTCGGGAATCTTCATGTAAACTTCCTCCTCAAGATCTCCATGGAGAAAAGCGTTGTTGACGTCAAGTTGGTGCACTGCCCAACCCCGAACAGCAGCGACAGCCAACAATGCCCGCACACTGACCAATTTAGCAACAGGTGCATAAGTGTCGTGATAATCGACACCCTCGATCTGCGTGAAGCCTTTGGCGACAAGACGAGCCTTATATCGCTCGATGCTTCCATCCGGATTGTATTTAATTTTATAAACCCACTTCGGGGTAATGGCACGCTTGCCGGGCGGCAGTGGAACGAGGGACCAAGTATAATTTTCTTCGAGAGCCCGGATCTCTCGCTTCATGGCCTCCCGCCATTCCACATAGCGTATTGCCTGGTGAAAATAATTTGGTTCAGGCACACTGGAGACTGCCGCCAAGAATGCTCGGTGATTGGAAGAAAAAGCATGGTAGCTAACATGATTCTCAAGTGGATGAGGAACATTAGATGGAGGGAGATCAGTATCGTAGACCTCTAAGTGCTTGGGCACGGCACGTTGACGAACACTGCGTCGGGGAGGGGCTAAGGGTGGCGACTGTGGTGGCTCAACCAAATCATCATCGTTACCCGCAGCTGAAGAAATGTCCGACCCTGTGGAGTGTGTATTCCTATCATCCTCCCCATGATCCGCCGCTACTGTGGGAATGGAGAATGATTCTCCTTGAGCATTCTCATCATCTGGACTAGGAGTTCCTGGGGAAGGGACAAGCTGTGGTGCGACCCCATTAGTAGGAGAATGGCAAGGAAATACATCCTCTACAAAGACAACGTCCCGACTAACATAGAATCGGCGAGAACTCAAGTCCCAAAGTCGATATCCCTTTTGTGCTGCAGGGTAGCCAACAAAAATCGAGGGATGTCCTCGTTCTGCAAACTTCGAGATACCTTTGTGATTATCCTTGCCATAAGCTAAACAACCGAAGACCCGGAGATGATCATAGGAGGGAGTATGCCCTAAGAGCACCTCATATGGGGTTCTATTATCGAGAACCTTGGAAGGTAAACGATTAATCAAATAGGTCGCTGTAAGAACCGACTCTCCCCAAAATTTCAAGGGTAAGTGCGCACGAAACATGAGTGCACGAGCTGTTTCAAGTAGATGTCTATGCTTTCTCTCGACTACCCCGTTCTGCTGGGGAGTATCAGTACAAGAGGTTTGGAGAGTAATCCCACGTTCCTCGTAGAACGATTTTAGGTGGGCAGTCTGAAATTCCACCCCATTATCAGCCTGAATCCGAGTGACCTGTTGCTGAAACTGATTCTGAGCCATATTAACAAACATCTCAATATACCGTTCCACATCAGACTTGTAACGCATCAAGTAAACCCATGTAGCACGACTGAAATCATCAACTATAGTCAAAAAATATTGTGCTCCACTGTGCGTAGGAGTTTTGAAACTTCCCCAAATATCCACATGAATCATCTGAAAACAACGAGTACTCTTGATACTACTCTTAGGAAAAGGTAACCGGGTTTGTTTGGCACGAATACACGAATCACAAAAACCGACCGTGCCCTTATTCTTAATAGAATCAAAAAGAAACTTGGCCTTCCCTTCGGATGGATGCCCCAAACGTGAGTGCCAAACTTCATCCATCTTCAATCGACCCATGGATGCAGCCAATGCCCTCGACTTAGTAGCACCAAACAACCGGAGGTAATACAAGCCATCTCGTAGCTTCCCACTACCAATCATCCTCCTGGAGCGTAAGTCCTGGATGACGCAAAAGTCATGTAAGAATATCAGGGCGACATCAAAATCATGCGTCAACCTGCTCACCGATAGAAGATTACACTTGAATAACGGTATGCTCAAAACATGACTGAGTTTCATCCCACTAGACAAGCTAACCTCACCAATTTTTGTGACAGGAATACTATCACCGTTAGGAATCTTAACTGGCAAGTAACCTGAGACATTTTCCGAATTCTCCAACAAGCTCGAGTTATTTGTGATGTATTCATTGCAACCCGAATCGATAACCCATTCAGTATCCGAGTTAGACTTACCTGCCATATTTGCCGAGGCTGCATTAGCCGAGGAATCTGATGCTGAAGTAGAAGTAACGGGACCATTCGCTTGACCTAGGAATTGCACAAGCTGTTGCACCTGTTCACTGGACAGCCCTGGAATTGAAATCCCAGCAGCAATGGACGAGTTCGCTGCGCGGGTACCCTCCCGTCGTTGACCCTTGCGAGGTCCTTTGTCACCCTGCCGAGCCTTCCTCTCTGGCCACTTCTCAGGCCAGCCAATGATCTCAAAGCAGCTCTCCTTCACGTGACCATTTTTGCCACAGTGACTGCAGCGCGGCTTCTCACCGCGTCCCGATCTCTCTTCCCGTCGCCCAGCATCACGATCATCTTTGTCCTGGTGTGCTTGGAAAGCAGCTGCTTCCACCGTCGGGCGACGATTTGCAGAGATGTTTTTGTGCTGTTCCTCGGTTGCAATCAGACGGTAAGCCTCCGCAAGATTTGGCGTAGGTTTCATAGAGAGGATTTGAGTCTTGACGGTAGAAAACGATTCGTCCAATCCCATTAAGAAATCGAACAAACGATCGCTCTCGAGATTGGTCCGCACCCGTCGTTCAACATCACATGTGCACAACCCACATGTACACTTAGGGATCGGAGTGATGGTCTGCATCTCCTCCCATATCCCTCTTAATTTTGTATAAAAGGTGGAGACGGTCAGCTTCTCTTGGCGTAGCAAAGTCATCATCTGCCGGAGTTCGTACGCCCTAGGCGCGGAAACCTGTCCAAAGCGAGCTTCCAAGTCGACCCAGATGTCACGCGCCGTCTTGGCGTACCTGATCGAGTTCCTGACCTCTTTCTCCATGCCTGTTTTCAGCCATCCCTTCACTAGAGCGTCGCATTGAAGCCAAGCTCCCAACAACTCTTCATTATCGGGTTTGACAATGGTACCATCAACCATACCCATCTTGTTCTTTGCGATGAGAGCTTCGGACATATCTGTAACCCACTCTCCATAATTGGAATCGTTCAGCAGTTCCCCAACGAAGAGTTGTCCCGGATTATCCGACGGCAAGATACGCAAACCAGCTGGAACTAACGGAGGTATATGACCACCACCCGAGCCGCCGCTGCTATTCACCATCGCACTCTCGCTGGCGCTGCCCGAACTCATCGCGGAATAGGATCGTCAATCGATCAGCTCTGATACCATGAAAAATCTAAGAAGCGGAAGAAAGATAATACGACACAATCGATTTACGTGGTATCCCCGTTCTGTTTGAACGGGACTAATCCACGGAGAAGGAAAACCCTTCTCAGTCACTTTCTTATTCACGGCTCAAGTTACAGCAGCTGTAAAACAAGATTATATATACAACCCTAATGGAACAAATCACCTAGGGTTGCCGTAGGAGCAAAGGGAAGTGGAAGTGAAACACCCAAACTGCCCCTACGTACATGCACGTAGAACCCTTTACACCCCGATATGCATGAGTGTGAGTTGGGTAAGATTGCGTAGATTTGCTAGGCTGGGGAGCTCATTCAAAAGGCCTCCAGCCATCGGAGTAAATACCTCGATATAATCGCACAACAGCCATAAGTCTTGAGGGATACAAGGAATATTACCTCTGAGGTAGCTTAGAGACTCCAACTCCGTGAGCTCTAACAGATTTGGAACTCTAGATGGAGGTGAAATGGTTAGCCTCTTTATACTCCTCGGGAGCCTGGGTATCTCCTCCATCAGGAACTCCCAAGATTTTCCTGATTCCAACAGTAGGGTTTTGAGAGAGGGTAAGTTTTCCATCCCAGTAGGCAATTCTCTCAAACAGGTGGACGTCAAGTCCAGCTCCTCTAGTCGTCGAAACTTTCCAATATCATTTCCCCTAATGATTAACTCAGTTATATTGGTCCAACGAAGACTCAGCCTTTTCAAATTCTTGAAAGTACCAATGTGCAGTTCTCCTTCCATATGGCGACAAGACCCAAAATTTATGAACTCCAAACTTGTGCATGTGGACAAGTCGGGTGCTTTTCTCAGCCGAGAACACTGGGGTAAATTTACAGCTTTCAGCTTCGCTGCTGCCTACGGATCATAATACAACCATGAACCATTACAATAAGAAATGATACATAGTCATTTTGTATGCGCCCGTAATTGATACATGAAAAAAACTAAAGAGGAAATAGAATTTACCTTTATTCGGTTCCAGCCCCTCCAATTATCTTTCACATTGCATTCCTTCAAATCAAGAACTACCAATTTCTTCATGTAGATATCAGATGGGATTGATTCACAATGTGGCAATCGAAGGGAACATAAATTTGGAAGAACCTGGCTGAAATCCCCCATTATGCTTCCATATCGCACCTCCAGGTACCGTAAACCTAATAAGTCCTTAAAATCCACGCTTTTAAGTTCTTTTTCATGTTCTCTAGATTTGACATCCACTCTAAGAACTTCTACCTAGGGGTGGCAGTCGGTCGGTTTCGGTTTAACCGAAAACCGAAATCCCGGTTATCGGTTAAACCGAGCCACCCTGCCCCCCTGCCGACCACCGACCGTGAGAATGGGTACGGTTAGCCGGCTAACCGACCGACCGGTTTCGGTTTTAGGCTCGGTTAGCCGGCCAACCGGAAATTACCTTTAAAAAAAAAAAAATTAAAAAACAAAAAACCTGCACCACTCATTAAGAGTCCTATCCTATCCCATCGGCCCTCTCTCTCTCCCTACTCTCTCTCGAATCTCTCTCCCTACTCTCTCTCCCGAAAATTGTTCTTCCTTTCCAGTTTCCAGAGAAAAACGAAAGCCTCTCTCTGAAATCTCGATCCTCTTCTTCCTTTGCCTCTCCCCGAAATCGCCTCCCTCCTACCCTCACCTCTCTCGTTCTGCCCTCCTACCCTCACCTCTCTCTCTCCTTCCTTCCGCCACACAAACAACCTCTCTCGTTCTGTCCACCAGCGTCTCCGCCGCGCCGGCGCTCACCAGCATCTCCGCCGCGCCGGCGCTCACCGCGTCCACCAGGTCTCCGCCGCGCCCGCGCTCACCGCGTCCCGACGAGAACCGCCAGCGTCTCCGCCGATGCCGGAATCGACGACCAAGGAGGGCTCGACGGAAGGGTTGAGCAGCGAAGAAGGGAGAAGAAGGGAGAAGAAATTGAAATCGCATGCAAAATCGAAGAAGGGAGAAGAAAATGAAATCGCATGCAAAATCGAAGAAGGGAGAAGAAAATGAAATCGAGTTTGAGAAGGGAGGTCGAGTTTGAGAAGGGAGGAGAAGGGGTCGTTTCTGGTTCAGAGGAAAGCGAAAGAGGGAGAAGGGAGGAGAAGGGGTCGTTTCTGGTTCAAAGGAGTCGACTTAGGGTTGAGGGAGGAGGATTGAAGCGGGTCGTTTTGGGGAAAGGGAAGGGGTCGGTTAGCCGGTTAACCGCCGGTTTTCGACCCCGGTTAGTCGGTTAGCCGAACCCCTACCCTTCCCCACCGCCAACCGACCGTTGTAATTGGAGTCGGTTTTTCGGTTAGCCGAAAACCGGTCGGTTCGGTTGAAACCGACCGGTTAGCCGCTAACCGGAAAACCGTCTGCCAGCCCTACTTCTACCCGTTCAGTTCCCTGGAAACAATACAAGAAAAGAAACTAGTCATTACGCATAAATATATATTTCTCATTAATATGTGGACCAAAGATCATCAAACCGTTGACGAAGATCTTTACCTTTGCATTCCTGAACATATCAAGGGCGTCGTCGGTTGACCATATCCTACTACGGTTGTATGGATGTTGAATATCTTCCTCTCTAACAATGGCTCTTCCAAGATCTTTGATGTGATCGTGCATCCAAAAATGGTTTCCTTCGTCAAGTTTCATCAACGATATGTGGATAAGAGTGGTGATCCCACTTTCTGGATAGAAATCACAACCACTCCACATGTAGTAGATTAAATCTTTGTGGGTACCGACAAAAAAACAAGCTATGTCAAGGAAGATTTGTTTCTCATTGTGCGACAACTCGTTGTAACTTATCTTCAATCTTTCTTGCACCTTATTTTCGGTAGTAGAAGGTATTCCTTGTAACTCTATAAGCTTTTCTTCCCAAAATTTCCTCTCTCTACGAAACAAAAGTGATCCTATCACTTTAAGAGCTAAAGGAAGTCCAGCAGCAACTTTTACAAATTCCTCAGATATAGCAACATCTTCCATTGGAGGACTGTCCATCCCAAAAGCATGTTTGCTAAACAGTTGCAAGGACAAAGGATGACTCATTTCTCCTATTTCATACAATTTACAATTTGGGAAGAAATCTAAAGCTCTTTTATATCTAGTTGTAAACATAAATCTGCTATCAAAAGAAAAATCACCTAAATTTCCTATAATCTTATCAAATTCAAACCTACCATCTATATCATCAATAACAATAAGCACCTTGTGCTTGCAAACCCTTTCCTTTATCATGTTGATTCCTTCACTAACATTACTAACTTGATGATTATCCTTCTTCAAAATGCTCGAGATAAGCTTATTTTGTAAAGAAAGAGCTCCTTCACTATTTGTCAATGTTTCCCGTACATCTTCCAAGAAACAAAAACGTTCAAATTGAGTGCAAATCTTGTTATAAACAACTTTAGATAGAGTGGTTTTACCTAAACCACCCATGCCATGAATACCAACGACTTTCCCTATAGAAGAGGATGAATTCAATAATGTCATCACTTCTTCCACGTGACTATCGATTCCAACCAACTCATCAGTCACTAAGGTGTAAATGCCCCCCAAATGCAACTCAACTTCAGAAAGGATTTGTTGTATTATAGCTCCCTGACTGCAGAATCAATTGAAGGATTGTCAATGTACACTATTAGGAAAGCAAAGATAGTGAAAAGTAACAAAAGATTACCATAGCTACATTAATAGAACACTAGCATATTACAAGTTATTAGGTATAGGAGTAGCATTGTACAATATAATCACATAAAGTTTTCATTTCAGCAACCTAAACCCAGTTGACGAACCACATGCATTTTCTGATTGTGAAGTAGCTAATTTGAGTATATTAGAGAGATAACAAGATGCAACCTAACAGATTGAGCAATACAGTATATCCAAAACAAATAAGCACCAACATCGTCAAAATCTAAGCATGTGTGTCCAATGTTACCTGTCGGATTCAGTGACATGCCATCCTTTCATTTGCCCAACCTCTTGAAGTGCTTCCTTCCATTCGTTCACAGTTTCGGGGCTATGTTTCTGGGCATGCTGTACAAAGGCTTCCTGATAAGAGCCATGTTGATATGCCTCACATCTCTAGGGTCGACAAAATAGAAAATGGGAAGGATGAGGTGTCCCTTCTTTTGCTTCCAGCACCCCACCATTTGAGCCAATTCTTGAAGACACCATTTGCTGGAAGCGTACTGCTTGGTTAAAATAGGGATGTAGATCTTGGAATTGGGGATGGCCTGGACTAGGGAAGGGGCAATTTCTTCTCCCTTGCATAGCTCTTCCTCGTCCCTGAATGTGCGAATTTTGGAACGGTATAGAGAGGTGTAGAGATGATCGGCAAACGTTTTGCGAACGTCGGGACCCCGGAAGCTCAGGAAAACCTCGTACTCCCCGGCGGGAAGAGCAGACGGCAGCACAGAAGAAGAAGCGAGAATTGATTCCATTTCTCAAATCAAAGATGTGAAATACGGCCGCAATGATAGTAAATCATTAATCGTAAGCCTTTCTTTTTTTATTTATTCAATATCCGGTTTTAAAATAATTATTATTAAATTTTATTTATTTATTTATTTATTTATTCTACCACTAGTTGTTAAAAAGTGGGATTACTGTTTCGGAGGCTATAAAATTCAAGAAAATGAAAAATGCCATGAATCGTTTTCAATTGATTTTGGGCACTTATTCTTAATGGACTTAAGCTCCAAAAATGAAAGCTATAACGAGCGTGCTCCGGATAGAATAACAACACCCCTTTTGTTGTTACTGGACTTAAGCTCCAAAAATGAAAGCTATAACGAGCGTGCTCGGATAGAATAACAACACCCCTTTTGTTGTTACTGTAACAACAAGAGTATAAGGGTAAAATTACAAGAAAATTAAAAAATAAAAGATAGAATAAAGAAGGAAGAAAAGCGTGTTTCTCTGTCTTTCTCTTCCGATCCCCAATCCTTCAGATCTCACTGTCTTCTTCCTTCGTTTCTTCTTTCTCCTAGTGCCGCCGTCGATCGATGCCAATCCAAACAACCAAGCACGGACGTCCCTGGAGAAGGTGGAAGAGGATCGAGGGTCGAAACAGTTGTCGATTTCGCCGGGCTGGCGGTCATTCACCCACGAGAACTCGCTGACGGAGTCGTGCATTAAGTGGAGCTTTGTTTTCAGAGTGCCGAAGCTGCGGCGACGAGGTAGTTTCCGCTGCCGAGGGAGCAGCTTGGCGACGACGAAGTCCAGCTTGGCGAACCATGGCCCTTTGAACACGAACGTGCCGCCGCTCTCTTTCACGACTCGATCGACAAAGCCGTGGAGATCGGTGGTTGCATTCCAAAGCAGGGCCGGAAGCATGCCCACCACCGGCCATTCGACGACGGAAGCGCTTTTGCTCTTGGATAGAAATGCTATCGAGCACCATAGAGATATGAAGAAGAGAAAAGATAGCAGCAAAATAGCTATGATCGACATTCTTCTTCTATGGCTTAGTTGATATTGAATGAGCAGGGGTCGTGGCTGTGGGAGATCTTCAATGGATCTGTTGATGTATATAATTGGTAGTGAGAGGTCTAGATTTGCCCATAATTTACATTTGAAATTGGGGCCTGTAATTGGAAGGTTAATCCCTTTCTTTTTCGGGGATTTGTTTGCAGGCAGTAGTTTGGTCCACAACAAGCATTTAATTCTAGAGTTATGAAATCTACTTTCTTCTTCCGGTGATAGTATTTTGGGTTGGAGGTTAGGGGCAAGATTGCAATTATGTAGAAAATTGATATGATGTTGTGCTAATTGGAGTTGGGTGTTCTTTATTTGACAGAAATAATGTTTTTTTTAGCTTTTGCCTATTGGAATTTCTGTTTATGCAAATAATTTTGTGACTTCTTTGCCTATACGACGTTGTAATATGCTAAAATGAATTTACGACAAATGAAATCAGAATTGTCTAAAAGTACCATAAATGTCCTGAAACATATGAAAAAATACCATAAATTTCTCAATACAAACCACGAACACAGTAAAACAATCCAAAAAAAGCATACCGTAAACTTTTTAATGCAGACCACAAGTCTTCTAAAATAAACTAGTAACCTCACAAAACAAACCAGAAACCCCACAAATCAAACCATAAAATTTTCGAAAGCACACCATAAACTTCTTAATGCAAACCACAAAAAACATACCAAAAACCTTCTAATGCAAACCACAAATTCTCTAAAACATACCAGAAACCGCACAAAGCAAACCACAAATATTTTGAAAGCACACGAGAAACATCATAATACAAACCATGAACAGTGCAAAGCAAACCACAAAAAACAAACTATAAACGTCCTAATGCAGACCACAAATATATTAAAACAAACCAGAAATCTCGCAAAGCAAACCACAAAAGTTTCGAAAGCACGCCAGAAACTTCTTAATGCAAACCAGAAACCTCCTAATGCATGCCACAAATCTCCTGAAACAAACCACAAACCTTACAAAGCAAACCACAACATTTGCGAAAGCACACCAGAAACCTCCTAATGCAAACCACAAACACAGTAAATCAAACCACAAAAAAGCAAACCATAAACGTCCTAATGCAGACCACAAATATATTAAAACAAACCAGAAACCTCACAATGCAAACCACAAAGTTTTTGAAAGAAAACCAGAAACTTCTCAATGCAAACCAGAAACACGATAAAGCAAACCATAAAAGGCATAAAAAATATGAGAAACCAAACCATAAATCTCACAATGCTAACCATAACATCCGGTGATCGTTGACCATTGACCGGTCAACGAAGACCGTTGACCAGTCAACGAAGTTCGTTGACCGAACTCCGGTGACCGTCAGTGAGCATATTCCGACGTCGATACGCATATTCCGACGTCGATAGGCATATTCCGGCCCCGATGACTAGATTCCGACGCTGGTAAGCATATTCCGACGCCGGTAAGCATATTCCGGCCACAAATAGTATATTCCGGCGACAAAAAGCATATTCCGGTGACCGGCGACCATTTTCCGGCGACCGGTGGCAGAATTCCGGCGACCAAATTTGTGGACAGAAAATTAAAAAAAAATTATTTTTTATTTTTTAATTTTTTTATTTAAATAGATTTTTCATAATGACAATTATACCCCTGCTTTGATTTTACACTAGGTCAACTCATCTAATAAAAAGTCGTCACAATCCTAGCTCCCTATTGGTTGGGGACTAGTTTTGTTACAATAACAACACAATGGGTGTTGTTATAGTAACCGGTCCCATAACGAGCACTCAAAACACATTCTCCGTAACGACTGATCGGAGCCTGCTGGAAAATATGGCAATCATGATGAAAACCGCCGGCAATTCTACCGTAGATTTTTCCACTACACAGTTCACGAATTACGCCGCGTGCTTCAACTGAGTAGACACTAGCCATTGATTGTAGAGAAGCATCCTACGCCGAGTAGAAGAACCGATGGCCGACCACCAAAACTCGTGGCAAATCAACATGCCAATCTGCCAGAAAAAGACGGCCAGAGATAAGATGGATGGAAGAAATGCAGCTCTTCGGGGGAGCGAAAGAACAATCATTCATCATCCCATAGGAACAAATCCCGCGCGAATAAAGAGATGGCTAGCAAAGAGCCTCTGTTACAGTGCCAGATTCAGGCAAAATCAGTTTCACGAAACGAAAATAGAGCCAATGACGACATCGTAAGAGGGTAAATGTTATGAAAACTGTAACGCTTCCTGGTGAAATGGAACAATTTTAAAGTTCACAAGTTAATTCGTCCGCACTTTTAAGCGTCGAGACTGATAGAGCAGCAAAGCCTCCGCCCATCTCGGCAACCCACTTCCCCACTTCTCCCATTCTGTTTATATTCTGTTACATATTTGCAGGCACTCTGTTATGCCTTTTCCGTAGGTTTTGGTTCCTTTGTAACAGCTTTAAGCCGCTATATATATGTACACTTTTCACATAATGGAAACTAGGATTTCTGAGCTCTTTCATGGTATCAGAGCTTTATGCTTAACAGCCTATAGATCTAGGAACCTGAAAACTTTCCCCCCCCCCCCTTTCTTTCACCAGCTGGATGAGTCCAAACTCACCCGGTCTCTTCCTACTTCCGTAGATCAACCCCAGCATACTCCCAGCTAAAGCCTCCACCTTTCCAGCTTATCCACTCTCCTCCAATGGCTGCCACCTCTCTACCTGCTCCGAAGCTCCCTTTCTCTCCTACCCTCACCATCCCTCTATCTTCTTTCTTCCAGTTTTTGCTACTCTTTTCCCTGGCGGCCGCTGCAATCGCGCCCTATGTCTTCTTTCCTTTCTCGTCTCTAGCAATCCTCCTCCACCTAATTTCATCTCTTCCTACATCGTTCTCACTCCAAGTCATCCTAGGAGAGGCATCCGCAACAAGCTTCTCGCGTCAACCATCAAAATCCTTCCAGATCTGAGGTTCCCTAGCTCTTTCCTCTCCTTCTTCTTCATCATCCGGACAGTGTTTTAGTTTCGATCTCTCTCTCCCTATACTTTTCTTCTACCTTCCTCTCCCATCCGTTCCTCTGTTTGCTTCTCTTCTCGTAAGCTGCTGGCGGTAGCTCTTTTCTCTCCTATAACCGCTGCTGTTTCTGCCACTGACGAGCCTAGCACCGCTGTCGCTGTGTGCTCTCCGCTTCTTTGTCGCTGCCATGCATCCCATCTCCAAGCCGGCCAATCTCATTCTTCTTCCCGGCAAAATTAGAGTCATGTGCGACTATTCTTCTTCCTCGCAAAATCTCTTTTCCTTCTTCCCGACCTTCCGACCTTCCCTCTTCAATCTCATCTTCCCCTTTCAATTCTCCTTTTTCCAGATTCCCATATAAGAAAACCAGATAATTCATTAGCCCTGCTCTGTTTTCTGCCTTCACTTGAAACCCCATTCTTCCTCCCTCCTTTCTTCTCTCCCCTCTTTACATTCTACTTTCTTGTCCTTTCCCCTTCTCAAATGGGCCACTATCGTAGCTCCAGAATCATACACACAGATACATTTGGCAACATATCAGTGACCAACCTTGCCGTCATAGACTCATCCAGAAATCGCCAAGCAGCAACTATGCGTTCATTAACTATCGGCACCGGCAGAACACTCAGACGGCATCACCCTGCTGGGGATCCTTGCATCTGCATCGAGAATTCTCCCGGTAGACAGTATGCCTCCAAGTCGATTTCCAAAAGGAAGCTGATCGCCCAGAAGCACCTTCCAGTTCAATCGTTTCTGCTCCAAATTTCACCTCCAAGGTTCCACTTGCGGGGGCGTGATAGAGCAGCAAAGCCTCCGCCCATCTCGGCAACCCACTTCCCCACTTCTCCCATTCTGTTTATATTCTGTTACATATTTGCAGGCACTCTGTTATGCCTTTTCCGTAGGTTTTGGTTCCTTTGTAACAGCTTTAAGCTGCTATATATATGTACACTTTTCACATAATGGAAACTA